ATGTAATAGAAAATTAGAAATTGACAAAAATATACACACATGACAAAACTATTGAATTTTACATATTTGTATTTTTCAAAAATTTTCATTTTTTTTATTTTTATATATTTTTTCGCCGGTCCGATTTGATTTTAAAACGCAATTAAAATTTTCAAACGTAAACCAAACTGGTTTGATTCAAAACAATTTCGTTGACGGGTCCACATGGTACCAAACCGACGGTTTCTAAAATGTGATTTCCATTCTATTTTCCGATTTGACGATTTTTATTTACAGCCCTAGGTAAAACGAGACCAACTGGTTTTGGGTTTAGTCGGAGGTGGGGCATGGGGGTGGGTATGGGTGTGTGAAGTTATTGGGTTTTGATTTTTATTTTTAATTCAAAGTTACCATTTTATTCTTTACAAAATGGTTTGGTTTTGGTCAAAATAAAATTTATGGGCCAACTAGCGATCAAACTAAAAACAAACATTCATTTGGATTTCAGGTGCTAATTTTTCAAAGGTCTTGGACCGTTGGTGGCACAAACTGAAGGTTATGATAAAGTCTGCAAAAAATTCAAAGATTTGAGACAACTGTTGCAATTATCCCTTTAATTTTTTGTCTCCATCTAACAAAAAAACTTTATAATTCTCATACTCATTTTTAACAACATATTTACAATAAAAATATTTTGTGCGTAAACTCAAATTTTTACATTACTTTTTAACTACACATTCTTAAAAACATCATTTCAAATCTCCGTTATTTTAAAATAATGACCATGAAAAAGGGGCTTATTATTTGCAAATACAAGTTACTGTAGTTGTAAAATAATCTAATTCTAAAGTATTGTGTCGGTCAACCAAAAAGTTTTTATAATTGTTTTTATTTTCAAAAATGTTGATTTTATTACGAAAAGCCACTGCCAACAGATAAATAAATAAAAATTGGTAATAACTTTATAAAAACTGCAAACTAGCCCTAAAGTTCTATGTAAAGTTTTTGGAAGCTATCGTTCCCCATATTCTCGCAAAAGAAGTCAAGTATTTAGATGATGAAAAACATCGTGACATAGTATCCGTCTACATTTGAAGTCGGCAGTGGAATGCAAACCACGTTCTTTGACTCCATTCATGAATTATTAAGAAATGTCTTTTACAATTAAACTCCCCTATATTTTTAGGTAGGGGTGAACACGGTTCAGTTTGGACGATTTGGAGTATATTTTCAACTCAAACCATTTAATGCGATTTGGAATTTTTCCAAACCAAACCATTATTTGCGGTTCTGTTCGATTTTAAACCGCGGTTAACATATCGACATTATAGTTATCTGTTTAAAATAAGATAACGTTTACATTTAACCAA